CCCGAGAGCGAGGCTGGCTCCGCCCACGGGATAGCTGCCCCCAAGGGGTGGCCGCCAGGCGTGCCCCGCCCCCCTGCCCGTGATGTCACCAGGCGGGAGACTGATGCACCTCCTAGGGGCGGAGGCAAAGCAGGCCACAACCCCTGGGGTGGAAGCGAGGCTGGCCCCGCCCACGAGAGGGGGAGGTACGCCCTAGGGCTGGCACCCAGTTTGGCCACGCCCCCGGTGATGTCACCAGGCTGGCCCCGCTCAAGGCAGAGGGGCGCGGCTGTGAGCCTGGTCCCGCCTCTAGACACGCCCACAACAGTCGCAGGAGCCCCCCGCTAGCCACGCCTCCATGGCTGTCAATCAGCTGGACCCCGCCCAAGGCTCTCCCTGCGCTGTCACTCAGGCCCGAGCCCCGCCCATCGGCTCCTTGCCCCTCCCCTTCCCCAGCAGACCCCGCCCCCGGGACAGCTAGGGCGGCCCTCCCTGCCCGCGCCCGCCAGTTTCAGGGGGCTTCGGGAGCAGCTGGTCTGTGGGTACATGGGGTGGGGGCACCGTGTGGGGGATTGTGGGTAATGCCGGAGATCGGCGGGACAGGTGCCAGAAGCAGCAGGCGGGTCTGGAAATCCCTGGCATCCAGCATGGGGTGGGGGGAATCCATGGCCACCTGTTTGCCCTCCAGCACTCCGGAGGCCTGGCATCTGCTTGTTGAAGCGGGGAGCAAACCCACAGGTCTTGGTCTAGCTCAGCATCATGGCCCTTGCTGCTCACAGGGCCCCATATCCCCCAGGGCAGCATTACCACCAGTACAAGGGTACCCAGATGAATCTTAGGGTGCCAATCACTCTGAAGCATTATAGGCCCAATGCTGCTTCCAATGAAGTTTGCAGGAAAATTCCTGTTCTCCCTCCCCCCCATGCAGCCTGTTTATTCCCTTTACTCATTAACCCCTTTCAGCCCCAGCCAGAACTGATGTGGGGGGCAGGTAGCTTCTCTCCACAGCCCCCAAAAGCTCCTCTGGGCTGGGAAAGCTTGGGTGTGGCCCAGCCCAGCTCCCTGCCTCAGTTTCCCCTGGCACCTTCCCTCTTGTGTCACCCACAAGGGCCAGGCTGGTGGCTTACCCATGAAATGCTACCAAGCCAGGCTGTCCTACTTGGGCATCTGCTCCTCCCCAGAGGTAGCTGCATTTTCCCCAGATTTGGCCCCCAGTGGCAGCAGAGGGTGCAGGAGAGTATGGAACTCAAGTACCTGGGCAATGGGCATGATTCTTGGGGGCTTGGGCCTGGACAGGCAGGGCTGGCATGCAAGTGGTTAATGCAGGGCAGCCACCCCCCTCCCTTCCCGCCAGTCTTTGCTGCCCTCTGGAGGTTAATACAAGCAGTGCCACCCGTGCTATCCCCAAAGTTTGAAGGCAGGTTGAGCTCTCCCTACCACCGCGTCTGGGGGGCATCTCCTCCCCCCTACATAACAAGAACCCAGCCCCCCAGGCAACATGCACAGGCCTTGGGTAGAAGCCAAGCTCTCCCTCCCCGTCATACCTGGAACCTTGTTCCCCTTTCCAGGGCAGTAACCCGTGCCATGCTGGGCTGGGACTGCTGGCTCATCCCAGGCTGCTACTACTCCCAGCAGCCCCACACCACATAGGGCCAGTCCTCTGCACTGCTCCCCCAACGTAACACAAATCCAGGCTCTCCGGCCCAGGCTGAGGCTCTCCTGAGGTGCAGTGAGCGTAGGGGCACGACTCCAGAGAAGGCTGATACACCTTCATCCTTTGGCCCCAGGCAGTGAAGAATACAATGCAAAATAGGAGACAGTCACAACTTTATTGTTCTCCCAGAATCAAACATGGGGGCAAGTAGAGCAGAGCAGAGCAGGGCAGGGCAGGGCAGGGCAAGGAGCTCAATGGGGCACCTCATGAGGCACCAGCTTGTAGTAGGCCCCACAGGATGGGCAGCGCTGTGGCTCACCTTTGTGCAGCCAGAACCAGATGATGGCACTGTTGTCCTCTTCACCTGCCAGGAGAGAGTGAGGTCAGGGTCACAGCCAGAACATTTCCCCTCCCACCCTCAGCTGCTAGGGGTGAGACAGAGCAGGACAAGGGGCTACTTCTGCCCCCTAACCCCCAGCTCCAGCAGAGCCCTTGTTTTCACCTCCACCCCAGGCTCTTCCCCTAGCATGCCCCCACCACACCTGCCCAGACACTCACAGATGCAGCCGACAAGCCGCTTTTCATTGACAGATGGCACCAGGTTGGGGTGCTCCCGGGTCCCCCCCTGGCTCTTGGGTGGGAACATGCTGTACGGGTCCTGAAGAGAGGAAGGCGAGGGCATCAGCACCTACCAGGGCCCCCAGAGCCCCCCCACCTACAGCCCCCCATGCCTGGTCCCAGTCCCCGCCCCCCGTGCTCACCGTGCCCTGCTTGACAGCCTCCAGCACCTTCCGCTCCAGCCCGGTTGCCTGCTCCTCGTCGGTGGGGACGCCTACAGGGCGGGCAGGGAACCACCGCGTCAGTCAGCCAGGCCCGCCCCCCGCCCTTGTCCCGGACGCCCGTGTCCTCCACGCTCCCTGGCCCCCCTCACCTCCGGCGGCGGTGCGGGCAGGCGCAGCAAGGCGCAGAACGAGCGCGGGCGGGTGACGGGCGCCCAGGGCGCGGAGGGCGCCGTATGCGCGCAGAAACCGGGCTGCCATAACGTCCAGCAGAGACTACACCAGGCCGCTTGAGGACTGCGGCTACTTCCGGGGACGGCGCCGGAAGCGGGGCGGCACTTCCGCCGAAGCGCCCGGCGGGAATTGGCCGCTCCGCGCCACGTGGTCGGAGAGGCTGGGGGTAGACGGGGGCGGGGTCTCCGTGAGCCCGGCGAGGGGGTGACCTTGGGTTTCTGCCGGCGACTGCCACCTGCTGGCCGGGGGTGGGTTTCCAGAGGCCCGCCCTGCCGTGCTCTGATTGGGTGCTTTTGACGGGGCAGGTGCGGCCTCTGATTGGTCCGGCTGGCGCGGTCGCTGATTGGGCGTCGCGCGGAGGGGAGCGTTGGCCAGGCGGCGGTTGGGATTCGGAAGGCGCGGAGCACGTGGCAGCGGGAGCGGTGGGGTTTTGGCGCCGCCCACAAGGGCAGAGGTCGTGGGGCGCCGACCCCCAGCTGGGGATGGCACCCGGGCGTCCGGCTCCAAGCACTCCCTGCTCTGACCACTAAACCCTACTGCCTTGCCACGTGTGACGTCACGGGGGCATCGTGTGACCTCACGGGGATAGCGGTGTGGTCACAGCGAGTGCTTCCCCATGCAGGCCCCAGCTCCCAGAAAGAAGCCATCCTGGAGGCTTCACCCCTTGCATCAAGTGCCAAGACACTGTTTCTCCCCGCTCCAGGCCCCAGTTCTTCTCCCTGGCACCATGGCCCAGCAGGCGGTGGTGGCCCCAGCGCCCACCCCAGAGCCGCCCATCCTGGGGGGCCTGCGCTGGTACCAGATCCCACTGTCCTCGCTGCGGGCGCCCAGCACGGGCCTCTTCAGCCGCCGCTTTCAGGACAGCCTGCAGCGCTACCGCCAGCTGCGCCTCGCCAAGCGCCTGCGTGTCGGCCGCCCCTACGCTCTGCTCGGGGACCCCGGCCCGGCCTCCCCGCCTGCCCAGGTGAGCCCTTTGCCCCTGGGGCAAGTAGGGACAGTCCTGGGGTAGATCAGCTCCCTTCGGGGCAAATAGAGACAGCCCCCCTTGTGCCCACCTGACCCTACTGGGCCCACAGGATGGCAGGAGCCAGCGACCTAGAGGCAGTAGAGCCCGGAGCAGCCTGGGCCTTGCCCCATGCCGAGCAGGTAACACCAGACCGCTCCAGGTCCAACCCTGTCGGGCATCACCCCTCTCTGCCCCCATTACTCCTACCCCCTGGCACAGCACCAGGCTCTGCTGAGGAGAGCAGGAGCCATCCAGTGACTGTCCTCCTGCCCTCTGAAGCCTCCAGGCACCGGCGCGGCTCCAGGGCCCCCCACCGGAAGTCCAAGAGGATGCCACATCTGCCACAGGGCACCAACACCAGCCCTGATGAGGCCTTCCCAGCTGACTGGAGCCCTGTGCAGCTGGACTTCCTTTGCCAGGCTGGTATGGTGTCCCCCAGCCAGGATACGGCTGGATCTGGGGAGAAGCAGGACGATGAGGAAGAGCTGTTGCCCCTGGCGCAGCTGCTGGGGGGAGCAACACGGATCCCCCCGGAGCCTGGCATGGTGAGTGTCAGGTCGGGGCATCGCTAAGGGGTTGATGCGTATTGCTGGGCACATTCCTGCCCCCAGGAAGTGTCCAGCGCTGCCTTGAGGGGTGGGGGGGCACAGTGCCCCCAGAATGATACCTGCCTCCACCAAACAGGGCCTGCAGCCAGATCCTGATGTCAACAGTCTGGCAGCACTGCTGCAGGAGAGAAGGTGAGATATGGGGAATGTACGCTGGGGCATGGCCACGGGAGTGGCTTTGGAGCATCGGCCCTTGCGCCGCCCTATGCTCAGTGCTGCCATGCCCAGGGCCTGGTGCTTGGTGGGCGAGGGGCTGCCAACACTGCCCGATGACAGCTCCGAAGATTCACCCGATGACACACCAATGCCCGAGGAGCACAGGTGGGACATTGCACACATGGCTCCTCCCCCCCCCCAGTTTACCTCCTAAGCCCTGTCTGACAGCCTGGCTTAGATCCCCACCAGGCATGGGCAGTAGGGGGGCCCCCAGGCTGGCACTGAGATGCTTGTGCCTGCTGCAGGCTGTTTCTGGAGCGCTTTGCACTGGGCACCAGTGAGCTGCCAGACTTTCCCCCTGGGGAGGGCATCTTTGGGGAGGCCATGCCTACCCCTGCGTCCCTCCCAGCTGTGTGTGTCCATGGCCTGGCACCCCAGAGCCCTCTTGAGGCTGCTTTTCTCAAGTGAGTACTCCCTTTTTCGCTTCTGTCCCCTGGAAACTAACCCCTGGCCTGTAACTGGCCCATGGCAGGGAAGCTGCCCTGTTGAACCGGCCTGAGCCTGTAACTGCCCCATCAGCTGCCTGTATTTAGCTCCTCTTGTCCCATCCCAGGGTAGAACAAAGGGACCCTTGATGGGGCAGGGCCCCTCCTCCATGCCCCCACCTGCTCCCACCCCAACCCCAGGACAATGGGCCCTTTGATAGGGGGAGTATCAGACACCAACTCAGCCCAGGAGGTCCGAGATGGCACACTCATGTGTTCATGTGTTGCATATACAGGCTTGTCTGTGGGGGCAGGTAGTTTTCACACGTGACTACATGGGCCGAACTCCTGGGGATGCATGTCTGCGTTGCCTGTATGTTGCATGTGGCTGCAGGTCTGAGCATGTGTGTGGTATGGGTGTTGCCTGCTGCAACACGTCCCTGGGTGGATGGCTGCGGGAGTGTATATTGCATGCGTGTCGCCTGGGCTTATGTGCATGGCATATGGATTTGTGCATTGCCCAGAAGCATGTGTGTGTTGCATGTGTCTGGGCATGTGTGACTATGTGTTACATGAGTCTGTATGTCTAGGGGTGCTTGCATTGCATGCGCCACCCATGAATGCACATCACATGGATTTGCCTGTTGCACCTGGAAGCCTGCACACGTTGCATGCAGATACATGTCCAGACTCAGGTGAAACACGGCTGCACATGCACGTTGCACAGGGCCATGTGACTGTGTGCGCAAGGTGACATGCACAGAGGCATGTGTGCGTGGGGCACATGGTCGGGGACAGCGTGTGCATGTGCATGAGGGCACGCCTTCCACGTGGCCGTGTGCGTGTCTCGGCACAAAGGCTCTGTGTTCTCCTCCCACCCTCTGTGCCCTTTGTATGTGAGCAGCTGGGACCGCCTCGGGCCTGCACTATATATAGTAATGCTGCCCCCCCACCATGGGTCCCAATCCTGCTGGGCTGGATCCCTGCCCCCCAGGGATACCAGGAGTTGGGGGGGGGTGGCCCTGGGCATTGTGGGGGATGGCACAAGGCCTGCCCCCCCCTAACCTCTTCCTGCCTGGGCAGTGCCACGCCAGCTGGGCAGGTCACCTTTGTGCGCACTGGGCTGCTCACTCTGCTGTACCGCGATGTGCTGGCCTGCCCCCCACCTGTCCTGCACTGGCTCTTCCAGGTAAGTCTGGGCACATAGAGCAGGCACACAGGCCAGGATATGGGAGAGGAACCACAGGGTGGGTTCTGTGAGGGGGGAGCCGGGGGTGGTCAGTGGCTGCCCATACCAGGACATAGCCAGGGCTATGGGAAGTTACTGGAGGCAGCCATGTGCTCTCTGATCTCTGCCCCCCTCAGCTGGCATCGCAGCCTGCAGGTGCTGCCCCTAGTGCCTTCCAGGCCCTGTGGGAGATCAGCATGCAGCAGATTGATGCACCTGGTCAGTGCAGGCATGGGGGAGGGTGGATGGCTTTGCCTATTTCCCCTGCCATGGCTGGGCCTAGTGCTCACGGCAGGGGCATGAGGGACCCTGCCCATCTCATGCCTTCTCTTCCCCCCTACAGAGCTGTGGTGCCCATCACTGGGTGAGGTGGGGCAGGCACTGCAGCGCCTGGGTGCCCACCAGGCCACCCTCAGCCTGCTGCCCCTGGAGCTGCTGCCCCCTGCCCCCAGGTGAGGCCTGGCAGGTACGGGGGTGCTCCGGATGCCTGGGTTTTCTCTTAGCAGGGGCAGGTTAATGCATGACCCTGAGGGCCCCTGCCAGTCAAGGACCCCCTGGGAAAAATCTGTAATGCCAGTGTGTGTGTGCATGTCCGTGTGTGTGCTTCAGCTGGGATCCCAATTGTCGTGCTAGGCTCCGGGAGGAATAAGCAGGCCTGGAGTTTTCTGAATCTTGTTGTCAGTGTGGCAGGGTGTGAGGATGTGAAGGCTGCTTTCCACCGTGGGGGTGTGGCCGGAGTGGGGGCAATAGTGTGAGCTTGGAGGAGGAGAAGAGAGTAAATCCTTGGGGAAACAGGTGAACTTGGGCAGCATGGGGAGCTCTCCACTCTGCTCCAGTGCCCCCACCCCTCTCCACCCTTCTGGCACGGGTGTGCTCGCTGCTGCAGAAGGTGCCTGGGCAGCGTGCTGCCATTCCCAGAAGCTGGGGGCAGGGGATTCCCAGTGGACACTGCCCCCCTGTGCCCCCAGGCTGGCTCCAACTCCCTGCTACTGCTGCTTTTTCTCGGGGAAACCTCGACTGACTGGGGCCCCCTGCCAGCTCTGTCAGGCCATGGGTGGGGAGAGCCGCACCCTTGTGGTCTCCCAAGTCTACCTGCAGCGCCAGGTACCTGCATCCTCCGCCTCCATGGGAAGGAGGGGCTGGGCAGCTCGCAGTGGGCTGTGAGCTGCCTGCCTCAGCCCTGGTACAGGTGTGGGGCTGGGTACAGGTACAGTACTGCAGATTGGGGGCCTTCCCTGTGGGTGGCTTCCAAATTTCTCTTTGCCCAGGGTCCCAATAAATCTTAATCTGCTGATGTCTCTTAGGGCTAGGGGGGGACCAGGGAGGCTGGGCTGTGCCCTCTGACCTACCCTGTCTCCACAGCTGCCCCCCGTCACTGGCGCTGGAAGGCACCGAGGGCACAGCCTACTCTACAGGCGTGCTGGGGGCGCAGCTCAGTGACATCTACAAGGTAGGAGCCACTGGGGGTGAGGGGGAGGGGGGCTGGAATCAGGTCTTGCTCCCCCGCTCTGCTCACTTCTCCGTTTGTGACCCTGGAGTTAGCTCTGTGTGGCTAACCAGGTTAGGGGGGCTGGGCTGGATCCTGGCACCAAGGAGGGCATGTTGCCCAGGTGGGGACCAGGGGGGCAAGGCCAAGTAGACCTGCCCCAGGGGCTGGGGGAATGTGGGTAAGAACGGGGCCAGGCCCAGGGGACTGTGGGTGGGAGCGGGGGTTGGGACCAAGGGATTGTGGATGAGAGTGGGGCTGGGCCCAGGGGATTGTGGGTAAGAGCAGGAGCATGACTGGGGGATTGTGGGTAGGAGCAGGAGCAGGGCTAGATCAGGGGGATTGTGGGTGAGAGTGGGACCAGGGGAATGTGGATAAGCATGGCCAGACTTGAGAGATTTTGCCTAAGAGTGGGCCTGGGCCCAGGGGGTTCTTGGTTAAAAAGGAAAAAAAAAAGAGCTGGGCCCAGGGGATTGTGGGTAAGAGCAGAGCCAGGCCAGGGGGATTGTGGGTAAGACCCCAGCTGAGTCCACCCCCCCTGCAGTACCTGACACTGTGCGTGCTGGTGCGGCCCGGGTGTTACCCAGACAGGCAGCGCAGGGCCCTGGTGGCCCTACTTTGCCGCCTCAGCCTGGTGCACCCACTGCGGTACCAGCCCTGCCCTGACCTGCAGCAGTTACTCTGTGCTCTTCTTGACGGCATGGACAACTGGCACCACCAGGTGGGCGCTGCCCAGACACCTGGGTTCTCCACCAACTGTGGGGGGCAAGAGGGTCTCCCAGCCCTGACACATCAGTGCCATCTGCTCCCCCGAGGTTATTGGCCTGCCCCCAGGGCATCTCCGGGGGGTGAGGGGGGCACAGCTGTGCCCCCCTCACAGCCCATTGCCACCTCCCCCACAGCTCCCGGCACTGTGCGGGGCCCTGGCCCATGTCTCACAGCACCATCACAACCTGGTGACCGTGGTTCGGCTGCTCCCAGATACCACGGCCAGGGGCAGGTAGGTGCCTGTGTGGTACAGGTGGGTGCTCCTTCCACAGTTGCAAACTGCTAGAAATAGTGTTATGCTAACCACACAACATGTGTGGCTGTGTTCACGCACAGGTAATGTGCTAGTATGGGGTCTGTGCTGACACACCAGGGTCATGCTGATTTCATGCCCACAGCTTTGAACCCGCAGCTTCCTTCCTTCCGCAGCCAGGCAGGATGTGGTGGGTGGGCAGGCGGGGGGGGGGGAGGAGAACACGACATCCTTAGGCTGTGGCTGGGATTTCAAGTCCCAGGGAAGGAAGCCCAGCACTGATACAGCCCTGGCTTCCTCTCAGGCTTCCGCCCCTGCCCCCACCGCTGCCCCTGCCTCATGGGGGGATGGAGAGCAGGGTAGGGCCCTGGGTTGTTGGGTAAGTGTGGTCAGGGCTTGGGGGATTCTGGGTAACAGGGCTGGTAGCATTGACCCTGGGGGATTACAGAGTAGGGTTGGCTACCCCAAGGGCCTTGGGGTAATGCGTAGCAGGGCAGAGCCCCAGGGGATTGTGGATAAGAGCGGGGCCAGGCCTGAGGGATTCTGCCTGGGTTAGAGCAGGATTGGAGCCCAGGGGGTTCTGGGTGAGAGCAGGGCCAGGCCTGGGGGATTGTGGGTAAGAGCAGAGCTGGACCTGGCGCTTCTGTGTAAGCAGAACTGAGATCAGGGAATTGTGGGTAAGAGTGAGACTGAGCCCAGACATGCTGAGGGGTGGGGCCCAGCCCCGGGCAAGGCGAGCACCAGCATGTCCCTGCTGCCAGTGCCACGTGGGGAGCCTGGTTGGTTCTGCGCCTGCCCCCAGGCCCTCCCAGCCCTGGTGCCAGGCAGCGGTGCCCCCCTGTGTGCCCAAGTCCCTCCTCTCCCTGTGGCTGCCTGGATGGGATCTCCTGCTAGGATGCCTGGGTTCCCTCCAGGGCCGCAGGCAGGAGGCAGAGCGGGCACTGTGCCAGGCTCAGGAGGGCTGTCTGGCTGTGCACTAACTCCCTTATTCCACCTGGTTGCACATGCACAAAGAGGCGGGTGCCTGGTCCCTGCTGGGCCCGGCCTGGCACAGAACAGGGAAATTTAGGCACGGACTGGGGGTGCCTGGCTCTGCCCCCAGCCTGGCTGATGCAACTCCTCCTCCCAGGCAGCTGCGCCAGCACTTGAGCCTCTGTCTCATCTCCCGGCTCCTGGGGATGCCTGATGGGACCGTGGTGCCCTCCACCAAGGAGGGACAGGTGAGTGGTAAGGCCAGGCCTGGGGTGTCACGACCTGGGGGATTGTGGTTAGGAACAGGAACAGGCCTGGGGGTTTGTGGGTAGAAGTGGGGCTGGGTCTAGGGAACTGGCTAAGAGTGGGGCTGGGCCTGGGGGATTAGCTGCCTGCTCACCTTGTGCTTCCCCTCCCCATGCCTTCCCAGCTGCGCCAGCTGTGCTGCCTCCTGGCCCTCATGAAGCCGGCTGCCCTCAGGTGCCACCTGCCACCTCCAGGGCCCTGGAGTCCTGGCCTGGACTGGGAGGTGAGAGTGGGGCATCCCCTACAGCCCTCCCTGCCCCGCCATCCTACAGGAGCCAGGGGCCCAGCCATAGCCCTCCCGCATCCTGGCACCAGTGCTCTCCAGTCATCTGAGAAATCTTCGGGCAGGCACCGACATACAGCGCCTGGCATGGGGGCTGGGTGTGCAGGGGAAGGGTGCTGTGGCTTTAAAAGCATGGCAGATTGGGAGATTTCTCAGGGGTCGGGTGGCTGCTCCCTGTCTCAATTTCCCTTCTCTGAGGAGGCAGTCAGTGGCTGTGCCCCCCAGCCCAGGCACCATGGCTGACCCCTGCCCCCTCTCCACCCGGAGGCTTGCTATCTGTGCTACAGCCTCCTGAGCCTGGCTGACACGGCCATGGGCACCGAGTGCTCATCTCCGGAGCACAAGGTGAGTGGGTACATACTCCACACATGCTCGGAGACATGCTGGGTGCTTCATGTGCCTGGGCGCACAACTTCTCCCCCCCCCCCGGCCCCAGGCTGGCATTGCTTGGCAGAGCAGCCTTGGCACCCCCTGATGCCCCTCTTCTGCCCCACAGTGTCTGTGGCAGGAGCTGTGTGCCCAGCTGCAGCGGCACCTGGGCTCTGGCCTGCCTGAAGGTCCTGGCCTGCTCTTTGTCACCCAGCTCAAGTGTCTCGTCACCTACACCTACGTCAAGTGGCAGGCAACACTGACCCAGTGCCCATCCCAGGTTAGGGTGCTGACTGGCACCAGGGCAGGCACAGGGCCCTTGCATTGCTGGCATAGCCCCTCCATGGCAGGTGGGCAGGGCGGTGGTGGCACCATGGGAACTGGGAAAGAACTCTGGAGTCTTGGCACCCAGCTAGTGCCCCCTCTCCATGCCATCCAGCTGCTGCTGCTACCCAGCCATCTGGGCTCCCCCACTCACCCCCCAAGTGTCTCCAGATGGGCATAGGGGGCACAGCTGGCTCCCAGATGGGGGCTGCAATCCAGCCCCCCCACCCCAGCCCCATGAGATATAATTGAGGAGCTGCTGATGAGGTCACAGCTGCACCCAAGCTGGTTCCGGTCCTGGGGAGTTGGCAGGGTGGGGGTGGGGGGCAGCAGCAGAGCCAGGAAAGGAACCCAGATGGCCAGGTGTCCCGGTGTCTGTGCCCCCAGGAGCTGCACTACCTACACTGGATGGAGTCATAGCTGTGTTGCTGTAGGGCAGTACCTGGTGCCTGGAGGGGGCAGCTGGCTATGCCCCTCACCTGAAATCCAGCAGCCCCCTCATCCCCGTTCGGTTGCTGTGGTGTTGCTGTATCTAGGGTGTTGTCACAGGGATCAATAAACACTGTTGCCAGGACAATGTTGGGGGCCTGTGATATCCATGCCCTTCTCAGTGCCTGCCCTGGCACTGGCAAAGAGGGGGTTAATGAAGGTACTGCCCAGCCCTTGCCCCCTGTGCCAGCCCCTCCCAACCCCCATGAACCCCCAGACTCCTAGGTTACATGCCCTCGCACCTCTCCGGGTGGTGCCAGCACTGGGGCAGTGGTGCCAGGGCAAGGAACCCAGGAGCCCTTGCACCAAGGAGCGACACCCGCCCCCTGCAGCCCCCCCCCACCGCCCCCCCCCCCCCGCCCTTGGCCCCCTGTGACATCATTGGGGAGCATGATGTCACTACTTTGATGTCATCCAGCTGTGGGACAGTGGTGGTGCACTTGTGAGGCTCTGTGGTGTCTCAGTGACCTTTTGGGTCTAAGTGTCACCGTGAACTCTGGACCCCATCCATGCCCAGCTATAATGGGGTGGACCCTGCCCCCTCACTGGGGGCTCCTGCAGGGGAGGAGGTTGCTGAGGGGCTCTGGGTGCTGCTGGGGACACTTATAGATTCATAGATGTTAGGGTCGGAAGGGACCTCAATAGATCATCGAGTCCGACCCCCTGCATAGGCAGGGAAGAGTGCTGGGGCTAGATGACCCCAGCTAGATGCATATCCAACCTCCTCTTGAAGACCCCCAGGGTAGGGGAGAGCACCACCTCCCTTGGGAGCCCGTTCCAGACTTTGGCCACTCTAACTGTGAAGAAGTTCTTCCTAATGTCCAGTCTAAATCTGCTCTCTGCTAGCTTGTGGCCATTATTTCTTGTAACCCCCAGGAGCGCCTTGGTGAATAAATCCTCACCAATTCCCTTCTGTGCCCCCGTGATGACCTTATAGGCAGCCGCAAGGTCGCCTCTCAACCTTCTCTTGCGGAGGCTGAAGAGGTCCAGGTGCTCTAGTCTCCTCGTAGGGCTTGGTCTGCAGGCCCTTAACCATACGAGTGGCCCTTCTCTGGACCCTCTCCAGGTTATCCACATCCTTCTTGAAGTGCGGTGCCCAGAATTGCACGCAGTACTCCAACTGCGGTCTGACCAGCGCCCGATAGAGGGGAAGTATCTCCTCCTTGGACCTATTCGTCATGCATCTGCTGATGCACAATAAAGTGCCATTGGCTTTTCTGATGGCTTCGTCACACTGCCGACTCATGTTCATCTTGGAGTCCACTAGGGGACTTGGGTTCTGCTCCTGTGCTTCAATTCCCCTTCCGGGTCGCTAGGCTGGCGGGGCCGGGGGCAGGCACCAGAGGGCCCAGGACCCATCACAGGGGAAGCTGAGGCATGCAGTGAGGCATGGGAGCAGAGCAGGGGCCTGGGGGTAGGAGGGTGAGGGGGTATCAGTTCTTGCCACTGTCATCTTGAAGGACCCTGGGCCGGATGGGGTCCGTTCCCCTTCAGGTGTGGGGAGCAGGGTCTAGTGGTGTCTCTAGAAGCTGCTGGGGACCCGGATGCCTGGCTTCACCCACAGCTCTGGTACCGTGAAGTAGAAGCAATGAGCCCCAAGCCCGGGTTCCCTGCCCAGAGCTGGGCATGGGGGACAGGGAGCCAGGGAGGGAAACAGCACCAGCACTTACTGGGCCGGTAATCACCAGCTGGGAGCTGGGCGTTGGGAAGGAGATGGGAGCCCGCATGCCTGGGTGCGCTTCCGTGGAAGGGCAAGGCGAGGGCGGCCCCGGACGCCTGGGTTCAGGCAGGGCCCTGGGGTGTCCGGCTGCAGCCGGTTCCTAGGACCCTGCTTTCCTTGGTGCCTCAGTTTCCCTGCCCGAGTGCTGCCCCCTCCAGTCCCAGGGTAGCGGAGCTCGGCGCACGCAGGAGAGAACCGAGGAGTCCGGGGCGGCGGGTCAGGGTCAGGCCCCCTGGGAGCACGGCTAGGGACAGGGAAACTGAGGCATGTAGGGGGCGGGACGCATACACACGGCGGCCGTCGGATCGCGACCGCGGGG